TGCCACACAGCAAGGAACCGACAGGGAGGACTCCTCCCCCGCCACCCCCCGCCTCATTAATTCCATGCATCAAGCAAGCATGAATCAGGTATTCTGAGTGCCTGGGATTGTGCTGAGCACTGGGAATATACAAAGGACTAGGCAAGAGTCTCTGGCTCGCAGAGGCAGTCACAACCTGACTTGGGTGTCTCCCCTCCTGGCACACTCACTGGTGCCAGGCACGCTGCTGCATTCTTTACTTACATCATCTTAGGTAGGAAGAAACCTGTGAGATTGGGAGACTATGCCTGTCGTTCAACCACAAACCCTTACAAAGATGGATCCATGCCAGGCACAGTGCTGGCTGCGGAGCATAAAGACTCAGTGGGGATCTGCTCTCTGTCCCTGGGTCTGAGCTGCCTGGGTTCTGGGTCCCTCCATTCTGCCCAGGGCTGACCCAAGCAGGGAAGAATCCCTGGACTTCAGGGGCACCCAAAAGGAACCTGAGTTTGGCCTGCCTCGCCAGACAGCTGCTTCCCCTTTCCCCAGGACATTGCTGGAGGGAACCGGCCCATCAGGACTAATTAACTACTCTAATGGAATGAACCAGTTTTTCCTGGAACTTAGCCCAGGTGGGAGGAATCTGTACTTTTATAGATGGAGAAATGCTAAGTGTCAAGGGGTCTTGCCTGCCGGACCCTGGGCTAGCGTGTGTGTGGTGGGCGGCCGGCGGGGACAGGGGGGTACTCTCTGGATGCAGGCTGAGTTCCCAGCCTAGGAGCCTTAAACAAGGAGGCCTCTAGGGTCCACTCAGCTGGTGGCCCCCACGTCGTTCTCTGTCCTTGGCCCAACCCCAGCCCTAGCTCAGTCTCTCAGAGTTCGCTGCTGCTGCTTAGGCCTGACATCCCTAAGTGGGGGGAATGTGTCCATGAGCTAACACTCAGGTCCCCTCCAACCCTATGACTCCATGTCCATAGTGTATGAGGCCCCGAGCCCTGCCCAGGCCTGAGCTTCTGGTCTCTTCGCTTTAAGAGTAGGGCCCTCAAAGGTTGCCTTTGAGCCCCAGATACAACTTCACTGGGATTATATTATCCCAGCAACCCAACCCTGCTTTCAGTCCTGAGGCAGAGCCCTTCTACTGATCTTCACAAGACCTGAATCACTGGGGCTAGATTCTCCCCAGAGCCCCCTCCGACCTACAACCCCTCCCCCCGCCGGAAGGCTCTCACTTTTGATTTGGAGCCTGCAAGTCTCTGCAGACTGCTTGGGGTGGGGGGAGGCAGGATGACATGAGCTGAGACGCAGACAGGAGGCTGCCAGCCTGCTCTTGCCTTCCCTTCTCTTGTTCCCCCCTGAACGGTGAGGCCCTATCACCCTCCAATGACTCTGATAAAGCAATTCAATTTTCCAGGCTGGGAGAGAGCAAGGCGTGCTGGGAAAGGATGCTGGCTCCTTGGCCTGGACCTGAAGGAGGAGGGTCAGTCCCTGGCAGGAGCTAGAATACCAAAAAGGGAAAGTGTGAGCACCACTGGATAGGACCTTGCCTTGGCCTACAGACCCTCACCACAAATGGGTTTCAAAGAAGGAAGATGGAGAGGAGACTGGATGGCTCCAGTAATTCTAAAGAGGCTGAGCCCATACAAAGCTCCCAGTGTGGAAAGGGGAAGGGTAAATGGCTTTGATTTCAGGCTCTCAGCTTCCTATGGACAGGGTCAGCCTCAGCATTCAGAGGGTGAGGACCTTATTATGGTGGGGGGGGGGGGTGGGGGGGGGGCCTGGAAAGGGTGCAGGTGCTTGACAGCCTCCATCGGTGCCCCTTTAGAATCTCCCATGGCTCTCTCTTCCTATTCTTTCGCCACACCCTCACCCCTGATGAGGGAAATCCGCTGTGGCTGACACTGTCTGTGAACTGGCTCTCAGACAGGTGCTCTTCCCTGACAGCCTGAAGAAACCAGGACACTCAGGAGAGGACAGAAGAGAAAAGGTGAAACTGAGGGAAAGAAGCTTGGGGAACTAGGAATTTCCAATAGTGGTTGCTTTGTGGTCTTGCTTAAGCCTGTCAGGCATCAAGGTTCTTGGAGGAATGAAGAAGGGAGGGGGTAGGCAGAGTCCCAATGGCAGAGTTAGGCTAGAAGAGGTACCTGAGGTCCTGGAATCAACAGGAAGCCCAGAATCAGCTGCCACCCCATCTGCCCACATCACAGCCCCCAGAGATCAGGGCAAGGTCTGGAGCCAGGACATCCTAGCACCACCAGGGGGCAGCACCCTCACATCCATAGGTTGTATCACAGTAGCCTGGGCAGGGGGCTCTCCTATCCTTCTCCAGCTGGGCTCTGCGTTTTGAGGGAACACGAAGACCTCACACAAAGAACCGATGGGAACAAGTCCCATAGTGCTAACTGCAGCATAGCGACTCGCAAAGAGAGGCACAGGTAACAGGTGAGCCCAGAGCTCTAGAATGAATCTCCAGTAAGGGTGAGGCATTCTCTAGAGGCCTTGGGACTGAGCCTGAGCTCCCCTCTCCGGAGCGGTCAGTGCACAGAGCCAGGAGACCTGGTCCCACGCACCTTTACCCAGCTGCCTCTCTCAGGCTGGGCCCTCTGTTTTTGTCAGCTCTTCCTAGGTTCCCATGCCCATGTCCCAGCTTTCTGATCTCCCTCCCTCCCCTCCTGGCCTCCTTTTTCCCTGGAAACTTTCTCCCTCTACCCATCTCCCCAGGTGCTCATCACCATCCACGAGCACTGCAGAGTGGAAGCACCAGTTGGGCAGATTTACTAGGGCGAGTGGCTGTTTTATTCACTGATGTATTTCCAGTGCCCGGAACTGCTTCTGGCATATCGTAGGTATTCTATAAGTATTCACTGAGTGAATAAGTCAATCGGGGTGGGATACTATGGATTTTTTCCCCTTACCCACTACACTCCCTTTCTTCCAATGACGGAGCTCAGTCATCCTGATTGACAGAAAGCAGGGGAGAGACCCCAAGGGACTTTGCCAGGACACAGACCAGATAGGACTTGAAAGGTATTCATTACATTAATATTCTGTGGTTCTTTCTTCCTCACTCCAGCTTCTGGCGTGTCCCGGGTCTTCTCTTCCCCGTTACTCTTGGGATATTTCTTTTCACTGCAGCAAATTCAAAGCCAGCTAAACTCTGAAATACAAACATCAGTTTCGAGGAGCAGGGACTGGGCACAAAGGGGGTGCCAGAAAATGTGTGTTTCTGATTAACACACCACCCCTGTGTATCAGTACAGATCATCAAAGATCATTGCCATTTTGGTTTTCTGGCCTCATTAATAACGAGACTTGCTTGTAAAACTCCCTTGCATTGGCACTGGGCTTTTAACCTTTCCTGAGACACACACAGGCCCTTGTCTTGTTATTCCCAGTTGAGCTAGGTACTGCCTGATCTGGAAATGGGAAGGTGCACAGCTGTCCAGGGTAGGTGTGTCATTTACCTTTCATTTCTGCCTCAAGATCTCCTTACATCATCCAGACAGGCATGGAAGCTGCCTGAAGCTGTAAAAAAATAAAAAAATAAAAAAACCATTGGGGATTAATATGAAGATGTAAAATAGGTTCTGGACTTAACAAAAACAAATGAATCTGGAAATTGCTCTTGGGATAGGGCCAGTAAAGTCCTGTTGGTGCCTATGTTTTGGGTATGGCAGCTTCTCAATCACTTAGCAAACAGGTTCTCAGAGGCAGGAACTGTGGGAGCTATCAAGATGGAAAAAGCACAATGCCGCCTGCAGGAGCTCAGGGTTAGGGAGGGGAGAGGAGGCATATACACAGGCAAAGTCAAATTTTAATGGGTGGAATAAGAGTAGAAGCAGGAGGGGGTCATGAGGCAGGACACAGGCACTTCCTATGTGGACCCCAGAGCAATGACGAGCAAAGGCTTTAACTAATGACTTTTCAGGGCTACCCACCCACCCACCCCACATCCATAACACGTTTCGCGATGAACAGAGCCAGAGCTACGGTTTCCTTCCAACTGGCACAAGAGGCGTTTCTCTGCCCAAGGCCACCCGTCCCCCATTCCATCGCGGGGGCTTTGGTGGCTGGGACAGAGGCGAAGAGCATCAAGACCATGGGCGTCTTGGGCTCCGCTGGGCCTCCGAGGCGCAGGATGCGGGGCGGGGTGCTCAGAAGGCCCCAACACGGTGCCTGGGAAAGGAGAGGACAGCCTGATCCTCGCGACAGAGTCTCTACCCTCTTTCTTCCTTGGCCTTCCATCAGCCGCAGTGAAACGGCAACAGTTCGACCAGCTTGGCGGGGAGGGGGCGACGGAGCCGGGCGGAGGTTAGAGGTCAGGGGTCGAGAGCGCTTCGGTGTCTGCGGGCTGCAGTGGGAGGAGCTGCGGGCCCGGGGGAGGCGGGGAGCAAGGCCGAGGGGGGCGGGAGGGGCTGCCGGCGGAGGCGCGCAGGGGCGGCGCGCTGGGCTGGGCACTGGCGGCGAGGAGGTGACGCGTTTGGTTTGGGCTCGGCTCCGGGGAGGAAGACTGCGCTCGGTCGCCGGGGCCTGCAGGTAGCCGGATCGGCCCCGCGCCGCGCCCCGCCCACCCCGCCCGCGAAGGGCGCGCCTGGGCGAGGCGGGGCCCCGGAGAAAAGGCGCCACTGGAGCGTGGCGGCCGCTGCCAGCGCCGGAGGGAGACCAAGAGCCCCTAGGGCCCCAGCCCACCAGCGCCGAGACGCCCCCTCCCCTATGCCACCTCGCGCCCGCCCCCTGCCGCGCGCGAGCCAAGGCCGGCGCCCCGCCCGGAGATGGGCAGACGCGTAGATGGCGTGGCTCCCAGCGCCGCCAGATCGCAGGAACCCGGCGCCGGGGCGTTGCGCTGAGGCTCCCTCTCCGCGCGGCGCGGGAAGCCTGCAGGTGTCCTTGGCAGCTCGGCCGCCGCCCCGGGTACTCCTTCGTCAGTGCCCAGAGCCCCGCTCCCCAGAGCGGCCCCGCCCCCCAGGCGCCGCGCAGCGCAGGACGCCCCGTCTGAGGCCCCCCCGCCCCAGCTCGGCCCCCGCAGCGCTGCGCCGGGTCCGGCTCAGCTCCCAGCCGCGGACGCAGGACCCGGGGCTCGCTCCTGCGGGCGCGCTTGTTTTCCAGCTGCCGCCTCGCCCTGCGCAGCCCCCGCCCGCCTGGCCGCCGCGCTCTGCTCTGCCCCGCCTGCCTTCCTCGCCCGGCGCTGGATTTATGAATGGGGGGAAGAGGCTACATGCCGCCGCCGCCGCCTCGTGTTGACCGCAAGCAGCCCGGGCCCACGGAGCTCCGGCTGCCGTGAGAGTGTCAGCACGGCCCCGGCAGCCACTCGGAGGACTTGTTGCTGCCGCTCTGCCGCCGCTGCGGGGAAGCCGGCTGCTCCGGGGCTTGGTGCGGTCTGGGAGCCGGAGGGTGGCCCGTGTGAGTGTGAGCGCAAGCGCCCCGGACCTTCGCGGTGCGCCTGAACTGTGCGCTTCCTTGTCTTTGGTCGGGGTGACGGCGGGGGCGTGTCCCCGGCCCAGAGCGTCTGTCTGTCCCGTCCTAGCGGGGGACCGCGTGTGTGCTTGCTTCTACTTCCCCGCGTCCTCCCTCTCTCCGCCTCCCTCTCTCCGGAGCTTCCTGCCCTAACCCCAACCACCTGTGCACCAGAGAAATCCAACTCCTCCCGCTCCGCGTCCTAGGGGGGATAGGCAGGGGCAGGGCCACGCCGCAGAGGGGGCCGCCGCCGCCTCCTGCCTCTTCTTCGTCTCCTCCCCCTCCCCCGTCTGACGCTGCCTCCTCGGGAAGGGTGTTTGGAGGGCAGCGGCCGCCCCAAGCCGGAGCCCCGCAGCGCTTCTTATGATCAGCTCGGTGTGTGTCTCCTCCTACCGCGGGCGCAAGTCGGGGAACAAGCCTCCGTCCAAAACATGTCTGAAGGAGGAGATGGCCAAGGGCGAGGCGTCGGAGAAGATCATCATCAACGTGGGCGGCACGCGACATGAGACCTACCGCAGCACCCTGCGCACCCTACCGGGAACCCGCCTCGCCTGGCTGGCCGACCCCGACGGCGGGGGCCGGCCCGAGACCGATGGCGGCGGTGCGGGCGGCAGCGGCGGCGGGGGCTGCGAGTTCTTCTTCGACAGGCACCCGGGCGTCTTCGCCTACGTGCTCAACTACTACCGCACCGGCAAGCTGCACTGCCCCGCCGACGTGTGCGGGCCGCTCTTCGAAGAGGAGCTCACCTTCTGGGGCATCGACGAGACCGACGTGGAACCCTGCTGCTGGATGACCTACCGGCAGCACCGCGACGCCGAGGAGGCGCTCGACATCTTCGAGAGTCCGGACGGAGGCGGCAGCGGCGCGGGGCCCAGCGACGAGGCCGGCGACGATGAACGGGAGCTGGCCCTGCAGCGATTGGGCCCCCACGAGGGAGGCGCGGGCCACGGCGCCGGGTCTGGGGGCTGCCGCGGCTGGCAGCCCCGCATGTGGGCGCTCTTCGAGGATCCCTACTCCTCCCGGGCGGCTAGGGTGAGTGGCAGGAGCCCATGTCTCCCCATCTTGGGTCTGCAAGGGGCCGTGGTGGGTGGCGTGTAGGGGCTGGGAGGAGCAGGGACCGAGCCTGACTTACCTTACCACCGCAGATTGTTCCCGCCTTCCTCTCAACCCCCCTCCGAGGCCTGCAGGGGAATTACACACTCCCACCCTCTCCCCTGCACGCTCCATCAGGAGATTGCACACACTTGACTTACTACTTGGACCCAGTCCCAGCTGCCTGCTTTGCCGCATCCCCTCCAGTGAGTGGGGTGCCCAGCTCAGCTCCTCCACCACCTTCTTTGGTCTGCACAGGCCGCCTTATCTTCAGCTGCCCTCCACTCCGCACAGGACTACGGTCCTGGAGAGCTGAAATTTGGCCTTTTGCTGGGGGCAGGCAAGGTTGAGAGGAAGGAAACTAGGGTGGGTTTTGTTAGATGCTTCCATGCGATGCCACCTCATTTACATCTTCCCAGCAGCTCAGTGTGCCCACAACTATGCACTTGGAGAGAGGAGGATATAGGCTTCAGCATCTTCAGCTCAGAAGAGGCAAAGCTGAGACCACAATCCGGCCTCCTTTCCAGGTTTAGGAGAGGCCTTCTTTCTCCCAGGGAGAATGCCGTGCCCCCCAGGCTTCCTGCACACCTGGGATGTCCTGGCCTCAGCTGGGGTGAGAAGAAAATTAAACAGAAAGGGCCTAATGTTCTAGGCCTTGGAGGCTCCCACGGCCAGTGGCCAGCCACAGGCTTGCTGGTGATTATACCAGATTTTTGTTGCCGCTTTTCTTTCTGCTGCAGCACAAACTCTTTCCAGAAAGCCCTGGTTCAGATTACTGCTTGAAATGGGTATATGAAGGAAGGGGGAAGCACAGGTTGATTTAGGCAAGACCTACCACCTCCTCCCCAAGTAAATCCAGTTTCCCTAACCCCTTTAGGTGGAAGGGGAAAATGGGGGAGATGCTTGCCCCATTATGCTTGGACAGCTAAAAAAAAATTCCCTGAAGGATGGCTTTAGATTCTTTAAAGAAAGAAAACTCTGGGGGCTGGTGTTGGATCTCATGATCAGCAGCCTAAAGCCTGGTTGGGGGTCTGTCTGGGAGACAGGAAAGAGCAATGTAACTTGTTGGGTCTGGGGACTGCTGCTTGCTGTGGAACGTGGTTGGTTCTTCTGGCATCCCAAATTGTCATGTTAATGAGTCTCAGAGCGCCCTCCCTTTCGCAGCACTCCTGTGCTGGACTCCATCCTCGACATAGAAGAAGGCAGGGTAGAGAATTGGGGAACAGGCCTGCAGGGAAAAGCCAGGCTGGCATAAATGCCAGGCCAGGGCAGATACATCTTCTGCCTGGAGGAGAAGGGAGGAGCAGAGGTCTCAGGGGCCGTGGCATACTGGGCTGGGGCTGCAGGCAGCCATGAGAAGGCAGGGATCTTTCGCAGGACTGAGAACAAAGCTAGAGGCAACTGCCTGGGGTTCTTTCCTTGTAGCCCTGAGACCGGCTCAGAAGGTGAGGGCACAGTGATGTCCCTGGTCTGGGTCTGCTGTGAGTTCTGCGGGCTTCTTATGTAGATCACTAACCTTGCTAGTGTTAGCACTTGGCTGTCTGCATTAGGGGAGAGAGACAGGCACACATCATTCAGACTCTTTCAAAGTTGGGGGTGGGGGAGGAGAGAGAGAGATAGAGATGGGGAAAGGGGACAAACCAGGGAAGCAGGCCTGGGATGAGGTGGTTAGGGGAGCTAGGCCCTATTTCTGAGCATTCTGGGATTTCTGGGGGCTTTTCACCTACTCTTGTTCCTCTCTGGAATTCTAAGTGGCACCCCACATATCACTGAGTTTATTTTCTTCCTAACACTGCTGAATGGCCAAGCCGGGGGGCCTCTTTGAGTAAGCTCAGAGCCTGGCCTGCCCCTTGAAGTCTTCCAGGAACCCAAGGTGTGCTTCACCCCTTTGACATGGAATCACATCAGCCCAGGCATTCCAGTTGCGGTCTTGAAGTTTATGATGGGGTAAGGTTAATTCTTTCATTTAAACATTGAGAAAACCAGGATTCAGAGACAAGTTTCTTGCCAAAGACATTTAACTAATAGCAGAGCCAGGAAACCACCCCTAGTTTCTAGCCTTCTGGTTGTTCATCCTGATGTGAATATCTGGATGGAGTTCTGGCCAGCGCATGTGCCAAAAGAGGACTTGCCTCCTGCTGAGGAGCCCAGGCACAGGCAGCCCTCACCTGCTCCCGGGACACACAAGTGAGAATACATAATTTTTAAAAATTAATGAATAACTGCTCATTATTGAGCACCCCAGACAGATACATTGCTGTGTATACTTTACATTAATCTCTAATCCTCCCAATAAACTTAAAACCCAGTGATTATCCCTGTTTAATGGATTGAGGCTGTGAGAAGGTAAACAGTTGCCTGAGATCACATAGCCAGATAGTGGCCAGGCTTTGAATCAAAGCCAGAGTCCCTGACTCCCAAGCCCTTGCTCTTGTGATTACAACACCTTCTTTCCACTGAACTAGGCTGTTTTTGAGGCAGAGAGCTTGTTTCTTACTCTGGCCTGAGAGGTGTCCTTCTGAGGTTCTGTAACTCCTGTGGATGGCATCAGAAAACCCAGGGGCAGATGGAGACGTCAGAAGGAAGACTTACTGTATTACCCCTCCAGGCCTGAGGGTACTGTGCCATGCGGGGAGTTCTGGGGCTGCACTTTCCCCCCTCCATTTGCCCCTGGCTAGTCACGCTGTCCATTTCTTCCCACCCCTGTTCCCCTGGGTATGTGTGCTTCCTTCCCTCGCTCACAGCTACCTCCTTCCTAGAAGGGCCCACAGCACTGTGGGGTGGTGGGCGAAGAGGGGCAGAGGAGCAGTGCTCTGCCCTGAGGCATCCTTTCGCACACATCAACCTGGTCATTCGAGTAGTGCATTGTGACAGGAGCAAAATGATACAAATGGAAAGTGAACTGAGCTGATTATGAGAGCTTGTTGCCTAGCTACAGACCTGGCCCAAGGAGCTGTTCCGCTCAGGCAGGCTCCTGGGCTGGGATGCTCAACCCTGCTCTACTGTGCTGGGCCCATGGGCGGCTGCTGCTGTGGTTCTGTTTCTGTGGCCTGAGCTGGGAACAGGCACGAGGGGCAGACTGGTCCTGTCCCCACCTGCCTACTGCCCAGGGCAGAGTGAAGGCTCACCATGGAGACTTCACAGCCTCAGGGGGCCCAGTGGAGGTTTGGCAGCGTCCAGAGCTTTAGAAACCTGCACCTTCTTTTCTGAGAGCGGACAAGAGCCCTGAAGAACGGGGCCAGGACGCTCTTCCCCTACGCAAGTCTCCAAGGTCTCCGGGGCAGGGCTGGCTTTAGCTCAGCTATCAGCCTTATTAAGGATTACAGTTCCTCTCCTTTGGCTAAATCAGCGCATTTTTCCTGTGCTGTTTCCCTTTTGAGTAGAGGAGGGGACCCACAGGAACTCCCTGCTCCATGAAGGCAGCTCCAGCAGGGTCCTCCCCTTTGTTAAGTGTCAGTTACTATGTGGGAGGCTTGGCCTGTGCTTTCTGCTACTACTCATCTGGCCTAGGTGAGGAAGGTATTGTTAACATCTGTATATCAGTATACAGATGAGGAAACAGGCCTGGCGAGGCTTTCTCAAGGTCGCACCGCTTGTGGTAGAAGTAGGATCCAAACCCAGGTCTCATGAATCTAAGTCCGTGCTCCTCCTGTGGCCTCTGGCTCCTGCCCAGAGAGGATCTCTGGCTTCCAGAGGGTGGCTCCTCACTGGAGAGCTTCTTCCTCCACTCTGTTCTTATCTCTTCCTTTACTTCTCACTCCCTAGAATTGCTCAAGTCTAACCTCTCTTCTTACTGTGGTATTTCTATAGGAAAAATGAAGGGAGGCATGGTTAGGAGAAAACACTGAGGGAAGCTCCCTTGCCCAGGCAGAGCATGAAACCAAGGCCGCCTAGGAAAGGAGCGGAGCTGCATTCCTGCCTGCCGCTTCTGAAGCTCCCTGGCTTCTCTGGTCTGGGCATTGCCTGGGGGACAGGTCAGTGGTCACAACAGGCTTTAGAGTGAGGGCTAGTACTCACTGATGCTGTGCCCTCTGAGCTGGGGTGAGCCAGGAACGTGAGCGCGGGAGGGCAGTACCCTGGCTTTCTGAGCTCCCCAGGAGGGCAGTGCCAGCCTGCCCTGGGCAGCCTCTCCACCTCCTTCCTGAGGAGCAGGCAGGGGCCAGGCTGAAGGCTGCAGGACTCCCTGCACACCCTGCCCTCAGGGCAACCTCCCGGTTTCCTCTTGGGTTTGTTTTCTTCTCTTGTTCTGAACAAACCAACATTTGTCTCTGAACATCTTTTCTCTGAATGCTGAGGTGTTTCTGGTTGTCACATTTGGGGTGGGGTGTGGAGTAGGGGAAGGGGAGAAAATAGACCAGCTATTTTAGAGACTTGGGGGAAGAGCAGGCAGGCAGGAACAGAGCCAGGCAGCTTGGCCTTGAGGGTAGGAGACTCTGAGCCCTTCACCCCCACCCATGGGCAGTGTCAGCCTGGGATGCTGGGCACCAGAGCTCTGTGCCACCCTTATTCCCTGTGCGTAACTGACTTGCCATGACCTCTGGCCCTGCTCCCTTCTGGAATTTTCTTCTGGCTAAGGGGTGGTCACCTGGTCTCTAGCAAGGGTCCTTATCAGGAAGTGGACCTGGCTCACCCTGGAGGGCAGCAAAGGTCCTAGGGCCCCAGTCCCTAGAGGTATTACTGGGCGTATACCCTTGTCACTTCGTCCCAGTCAGTGGGTCTGACGACCTCTTCTTCTGACAGGCTCACCAGGACCAGGAGAGAGAGCAGGGGGTCGGCTTGGCCCCAGTCATTCAGAAAACACTTACTGCACACTTACCATACATATGCCATACACACGTGGGGTTCTAGAAATCCAAAGATGAGTCAGAGGGGGTCCCCTGCTCCTGACGAAAGCCAAGTCGGGTGGAGTAAGTGGCGGTCAAGGGAAATTAGGTGACAAG